GATACAATTTCTATAAATTTAATTATATTTATTAGTATTAACATTCACATAACCTTCATAAAAATTTACATATATCTATGTTTACGATGCCAAACGAGTAGTGTTTGGTCAAAGTACCGAGTAAAATAATTTTATGGTTTATGATTTGTAAAATAAAAAAAAAACATTGATTTTATCAATATATTTCAAAAATAATAATTAAGATTAAAAATAATAAATGAATGATACTTTTTTGTGCTATTATTGTACAGATATCGTTCAAAGTATAGTCAAATTATTTATATAAATTGAATTATTTATTAATTTTAAGTAAAATATGAAAATATTTAAAACTTAATTATTTTTCATTGAAATAATAATTATTTAAAAAAATATATGTATTTATTAATGAATATATTTGTTCATGAAATTAATGCGTAGGTTAGCTTTCGCAGTTTTTCAAGAAAATTTCAGATTTCAACGAACATTCCGAAAAAATGGATGTAGAAAAAGTCGCTGTGTTTGCCAGTATAGGATTTGCAATAGCTATTGCAATATTTGTTTTATGGGGTCCATCTCCCAAACCTAGAAAAAAAGGTATAGTGAAAAATATATTTACAATTCTTATGGATTTTCTAAAAGATATGTTTTACTATACTTTACATGTTTTTTCAGGAAAAGTTATTGGAATCAATAATTTAGGATATACTTGTTTTTTGAATTCTCTTTTACAAGCTTTAGCTGCATGTCCAATATTTATTGGATGGTTAAAGAAACAGTATGATAAAAATGGAAAAGTTAATTTCATTTCAACTCTACTGTCTGTTTTTGAAAGTATGCAATTATTTTCAATAACATATTACTTATTTTATGAATTTTTTTATTATTTTTATTATTTTATGAATTTAAAAAAAATTAAAATATAATATGATATTCTTATCAAAAAGTTATAATGTAAACATTTTATTTTTTAATTTAATTTAAAAATTTAATAACTTAGATAATATACGATATATTTCTAAAAATTATTATAATTCTAAAAAATATTAATATAATTAATATTGCAAATGAATAATATATATCACATATTATTTTTTGAATTAGAAATCAATGGATATGCAGAAGATTTATATGGTGATGTGACACCAATCGAGATTATTTCGTCTCTTGGTAATCAATGGAAATTTGCACCTGGACATCAAGATGTACATGAATTATTCATATAGTTCTTAATGCACTACAAGCAGAAATTCAATCTGGAAATAGGGTATGTTTACAATTAAAATTAATGAATTTAAAATTGATATTTTATATCAATTTATTATATTATATTATATATATATATATATATATATATATATATATATATATATTAATTATATATAATATATAA